TCTGTCTGGACATTATGGAAGGTCTTTAAAATCAGATTATAGGTGGTCATTCTAAAGCATTGCCCATTTAAGCATAATAGAATTCATTTCTTAACCCATAGAGCCCATTAGCAGAAAGGCTGCCAGGTCTATCTGGATAAAATCTTGACCAGGATGTGAACTGTTCTCCAGCAAGTCTGGATCTATACGAGTCTGGCAGTGTGTTTTATGTCAGGTGTCCCTCCAGAGTGTGTCCTGTGGCACTCTGTTGGCTGCAGGGGGAGGGGAGAGCGAGTGGGTTGACTTGTTCAGCTCGGCCTGGAGAGGAGGGGACACACACATGCTGCCTGCTCCCCTGCGGGGAGCTGTGACATCCTGCTGCTCGACCTCACAGAGCAGTGTGGAAGCATCACAGCCTGGGCAAGCTGGTGTTACAAAGCAGGGGATTCCTCAGAAATTCCTCATGGACCAAACCGTTGGGTGTAGAAGTTTTACTTCTTCCTTCTCAAAAATTGAGATATAACTCACATTCAGTGGATTTTATATATTTACAAAGTTGTGCAACCATCACCACTATTTAATTCCAGAACATTCTCGTCATCCCCCAAAGAAACCCTATACCCATTAGCAGTCACTGTCCATTCTCCTGTCTCCCCCCCAGCCCCTGGCAACCACTAAACTACTTTCGGTCTCTATGGACTTGCCTATTCCAGACATTTCATAGAAATGGAATTGTGCCCTATGCAGCCTTTTCTGTCAGGCTTCTTCCCTCAGTGTAATGTTTTCAAAGTTCATCCATATTATAGAATGTATCGGTAGTTCATTCCTTTTTATGGCTGAATAATCCTTGTCTTTCCTTTTTATTCCTTTTTATCACCCTTTATTACAGGGGCACTCTGCCCCAGGCTCTGGGAACCCGTTTTTGGGTGCCGAGGCAGAAAGTCAAACTCTGTTGCACGTGCACCCCTCGCGCTGTCTTCACCCTTGCCTCAGGGAGGGGTGGAGCTGGTCTCCCGTCTCCCCTTCCAGGCTCTGGTTCCATCTGTACCTCTGTTCATAGTCTCCCGACCCCCACCCACACCTTTATATCTTTAGTCACCAGATCTAAGAGTATCTGTTAAACACACGTGAGGTGAGGAATCAAGACCCATCAGATAGGCATTTAGAGTCCAGTAGGAAGAGAAGATGTATACAGATGACCAAAACACAAGTAGAAATGGGATAGAAAAGAAAGAGAAAAGCAAGCAGTGTGATGTGCCAAGAGAAGGTGGAAATGGTAGAACGTGAGGGGTGACATAAAGGTGTCTTGGCCACTTGCCCAGAGCCTCACAGATGGTGGGGCCATTGGGATTCAGAAACACAATCCAGGCGCTCACGGATCATTGGTTCCATGGGTCTGATTTGTGTTAACTCATAAGAGATCCAGACATAAACGAAGTTGCCAGAGGATTCATTTACCATGTGGTCTCGGTGGGAAAATAGACACAAGACATAAACCAAAAGCTCACAAAAGAAGCAGAGCATATTAGTAGTTCCCCCCCCCCCACCGTCCACGGGTTTGCTTCCCGAAGCTTCAGTCACCTGTGGTCATCTGCAGTCCGGAAGCAGCCTCCTCCTGACATACCATCAGAGGGGCAGTAATATCCTAACGCTCCATCACAGTACTGACTTACGTCCTCTCCTCGCTGCATCTCATCACGTGGGCTACGCATCTCACGGCATCCCAAGAAGGAGGGCAAGTACGGCACAGTAAGATATTTTGAGAGAGAGACCACTTTGCATAACTTTCATTATGGTATATTGTTTTATCTCATTATTAGTTATTGTTGTTAATTTCTTACTCTACCTGATTTATAAATAAACTTGATCATAGGTATGTGTGTGTAGGTCTAGTAGAGGGTTCAGTACTGTCTGCAGTTTCAGGCATCCACTGGGGGTCTTGGAATGTATCCCCGTGGATAAGTGGGGACTATAATAGCCAGTGAACATACAATACGCAGAGATATGCAAATAAAACCTTTTTATTTTACCTATCAAGTTGGACAAGATGGGAAAAATTGATACCCAGGCGTTAGGGAAGCTGATGCTCTGTGCACCACTGTTGGGAGTAAAAACGGACCCAAACTGTTGAGGGTTAATTTGGTAAAGATCACTTCAGTGATTCATTTCTATGAATTTACATGCAGGAAGCATCAGAGTACACAGAGATTTACATAAAATTATTTTTTCACAATGAATTTTATAATAGTGATAAATTATGAACACATCAATGCATAGTAAAAAGGGATTTGTTAAATGATAGCATGATGTGTATTAGGATAATCACAGCCATTAAAAACTGCTTTCAAGGGGCACCTGGGTGGCTCAGTTGGTTAAGCATCTGACTCTTGGTTTTGGTTCAGGTCGTGATCTTGCAATCGTGGGATCAAGCCCCACATCAGGCTCCGTGCTCGGGAAGGGGAGTCTGCTTCGGATTCTCTCTCTCTCTCAAATAAATAAATAAAATCTTAAAAAAAAAAATCTGCTTTCAGCAAATATTTAAAGACGGTGAAAAGGCTAATGATGTGTTATGTGTGAAAAAGGATTAAAACTATATATATATATAGCATGATTACAACTTTGAAAAATACCCATGAATGTCATATGTGAAGAAAAAAATTGGAACAAAACTGTCAAAATATTAGTGTTTGGCTCTAGGTGGTGATATTGAATATATTTAGAGATTTACTTCTCGGGGCACCTGGGTGGCTCAGTCGTTAAGCATCTGCCTTCGCCCAGGTCATGATCCCAGGGTGCTGGGATCGAGCCCCACATCAGGCTCCCTGAAATTTCACAGTCATGGGTTTTGGAGTAGGGTCTAGCTGGCTATCGTGGACCCTTTCAATCTGGAACTCATGTCCTTTGGTTCTGAGAAATTTTCTTGGTTTATTTCTTTGATCTCTTCATTTCCAGTTGATCTTTTCTATTACACTACAACTCCCAGTATTTAAATGTGGGAGTTCTTGGGCTGGTCCTCTAATTTTTTTTTAATATTTGTCCCCTGTTTTTGCTCTATTTTGGGGAGAGTTCCTCCATTTTATCATCCACCCCTTCTATTGTTTCTTTAAATGTGATTCTATTGTTAATTTTTAAGAGCCTTTTCCTGTTCTTTAGACGTTCCTTTTTTTTTCCCCTTTGGCATCTTCTTAGTCTGGTTTGTTTTGCTTTTTTGATTGTCTTTTCCAATTTCTCTGAGGATATTAATAATAGTTACTCAAAACTTTTGTTCCCTGCATTGTATCACATTTTGATCTGTCTTTCATGGTCGTTCCTCAGAGGTCCACTCGTCCACTGGGGCATGTGGGAAGCTCTGCGTGTGAGCGAAGCTGGCTGACTCTGGTCCTTACTGAAGGTCAGGGTTTCCCCCCGTCAGCACTCTCGATATTTTGGGCTGGAAAATTCTTTGTTGTGGGGAGCTGTCCTGTGTACGGTAGGATGTTTAGCAGCAACCGTGGCCTCTTCCCACTAGGGAGGTGCCTGACCCCACCCCAGCCATGACCATCAAACATGTCTCCAGACATTACGGAATGTTCCCTTGGGGCACCATCACCCCTCACTAGCCCTGACACCCGCAGTTGAGAACTGCTAGAGGCGAGCTGCCGGGGCCTTTTCACTGGGGAATCTTTAACATCAGATTTTGGTCTCTCCCCTTGGGCTACTCATATTCCTTAGAAAGGAATCTTCCTCTCTCCTGTCTGAGGGGTTCACGCACAGCTGCCACTGTTCTGGGAAGGGAGTGCCGGAAGCAGAGTAGGGGTCTTAATTTTTAGCATGTGTCCTGACCTTGTGTTCAGTGTGTTCAGCTGGACCTTGCGTCCCCCCCGCCACCCTGATCCAGGGAGCCTCTCTCCAGACACTAACTCCCCCTGCCTTTTGTCGGGGTTCGGGAGAGTGCTCACCATGATAGAGCATGGAACCTGGAATTTAAGTGCTGCATAAGCAGACTCACTTCATCCCCTTGTTGTGGCTCCAGCTTCAATCCACCTGCAGGTGAACAGGCCGCTGCAGTTCCCACACCTTCAGGGGGTTGTGTCTTTAGGGGCTTCCTACCTTTCCCCTCATTGCTGCCCTTCTGAGTCTGCTAAGTCAAGTCCCACTCGTTCTTCTACCTCCCAGCTTCTAGAATTGTTTTGCTCTTGTCTCCTTTCCTGTTTGCTTTGTCCCTCTGGCTTTATGCCTTTTGTCTTTCTTTTTTTTTTTTTTAATTACCATAATGTTAGAGGATTTGGGAGCAATCAGAGATAAATGCATGTGTTCAGTTGGCTGGGATTTAACTAAAGTCATCGCGTTTTTTTTTATATAACTAGAAAACAGAAATATGAAGAACAAAGTTATAGTGATAGATATTCTTTCCGGTGCCTGCTATCCATTGTAGCTTTCCTTAGCATCATGGGACTTGGGAAAATGAATTCAGAAGAGGCTTGCTTGGGATGGAGGCTGTGGAGCACACAGAATTAGAAATCTTAGAGGAAATGTATATTTTATCCGGGCCCTAGAACCCAGTGATGAACTTTTCCTTCCACACGAGAGTGTGGCTTTCTAGTGACCGGGCTGTGTGTGTCCACCACGGCCAGCGTCTTACCGTCGGCAGAGCTAGGTGGACGCTGAGATTCTAATTGTGCAGTTTCTCCTTTGCTGGACTCTGTGTGGAGTCTGTGTAGACCACGACTTTTCAGTTAACCTATTTTTTCAGCCAGGCCAAAACACACTGTATTAGGTTACGGCTTTCCTTAGTTACATTCTAGTCCCCTTGATTGGATTTGGGTGCTTTCCAGTGTGACCCATACTGCAGATGACTAATAACAGTTACGGTTTGATTTTCATTAACCTAATTCTCAAAATGCAGCCTTATGTCGGATTATTAGGGTGTCCTACCATAGTTCCCCTTGATTTATTCACCATACCTACAGGTGTTAATGACAGTGGGAGGCGGGCAGGAGCACTTCCAGCTCTGGGGACAGGCAGTTTTCTTAGAAGAGAAGATGACACCTGTGTATGGGGTGAGGAGGGGACACAGGTAGGACAAGGTACCCCAGGCCAAGAGAAAACACAGAGGGAGACGCACAGGCAAGCAGCAGACTGCCTCCACTGGGTGGTCACCAGGGAAGCCGGTAGATGTAATAAGTTAGGAGGGAATCGGCCGTCCGCCGTGGCTAACCTCCAACACCAGGCTGAAGGGCTTGGACTTTCTAAGGGGTGCCATGGGGGGGCCAGGGAAGTCTTCTGAAGGTCTATGCCACGGTGGCAGACTAAGAGAGAAACATTAGGTCGTGTGGATTTTTCCATGCAGCCTTTTCTAGTCCTCAAGGGCGGACGAATTGTCTCCCCTCTGAATTCCTGTGCCCCTTAGCACATACGTCTCCTGTCATTAATTCTGTGCCTACATTTGAGGCCTTCTTTGGACTTGTTGATCCACATTTAGCCACATTTAGCCACATTTAGCCACAACAACCACCTTATGAGGTAGGTGATATTATCTTCCTGTCCGGCCTTTTTTTTTTTTTAAGTGGATGAGAAAACAGACCCAGAGACACTGAAAGAACTCTTAAGGTTACACGCACGGCCCAAGAGCGGCAATGCTGGGCCTCAGACCAGGCCCTGCGGCTCCACGTCTGCAATTCAGTTTTCTAGGGCCTTCCCCCTGCTGCCAGTGTCTTACTAGATCGCCTAAGTCAGCCGGTGCCTCCCTGAAGGGCGAGGCGTGCTTTGATTTTCCAGGCAGCACATGACACATGCAGTGAAGGAGCTGAGGCGCTGGACTGGGGGCTCCGACAGGACTCAACTGAGGGGGAGCACGGGGTGAGCTCGGAGCGGGCACCGCGCAGGTCCCTGTGCAATCTGACCAGACCGTAGGGCCACGCCTCTAAGACTG